TGTATTTCCAACTTTTTTCAATATATACGCAAAAAGTCTTTAAACCCGTACTGGACAAAACTTTCATTTTTCTATTCAGACTTACATTTTATCAACCGTCAGTGAACCATAGTTTAAGGTTATGAATCTGTGGCATGATTACATGTTCAATGCAAAAACAAATTGAAGTATCGGTTAGTCTATGAAAAGAGATGTACTATGAAATTTAGAGCGAGGGGTTTTGCCCTGGGCACTTAATATCATAATATATAAATTGATTTTCATAGACTATCCAATTTAGCACATATTTACAAATCAAGTAATTTTTTAATAAGTATATTGATAGTTCAGCACATACTTACAACTTCTCGTCTAATCAAATTGCTTGAATTTGCCTTCTAATTTTCATAGTACATACTTTTTCCGTCTACTAAGTCACTATGCACGAATGACCACAATGGTAAGATTTCATTGTATTGTAATCAAGATGTTAAAACAAAAATTGCCACTGGCTAATTTGGAATAAAATGATGTGTCCCAAAGTTTGTAATTAGTTTTTACATCGATTTTTAAATACACGATATCCTTCTATTAAAATCTTCGAATTTCAAAAAAGAATAACAAATATGGTTCTTAATACCTTGATTATAGTACAACGCTATCTTATAATTGTGGTAATTTATCATCAATGCAATTACGTTGTACAAAAAAAGTGAGTACTTTGTAACCGAGTGAAGGGAAATAAAGGCAACTTGATGGATGATTTTATAAAACCTTTCTTAAGGAAATTGATCTATTTCATCATGAATTGAAAAACCATGATAATGTCTGAATGGAATGTGCCACCTATATAATAAATATATGATAAATATTTAAGTCTATATGTTTCAATTTATTATAGCTTTAGTTTTACTGTGAAATTGAAAAATGTTTTCTAAACATGTAAATCTTCCACTGCAATTTAATAATATATGTCTTCTTTTGGTCAATTTTTCTTGTCATCTTATCATGTAAAGGTATATACTATGAAAAAAAAAATGCTCGGGGCAAGCCCCTCGCTGAAAATTTTACAGTACATACCTTTTCATAAACTAACCGATACTTATATTGGCTGACTACTTGTATCACAGGTGTTTGTAAAACGGAGTTCATTAACTAAGTTTTATGTTTTGTAAATTTACTCACATGCATCATAGCTATCATATTTGTTCAATTTGTGACAGTGATTTAGCAGATCACTAGTTTATAAATACAGGAAACCGCGAATTGGGAAAATAGCTGTTTATAAGTAAATTTCACATACAATTATGCGATTTAAAGAGGCCCTTGACGCCAAGATGAAAAGATGACAGCTGCTGGTGTAAGTATGTATATCGATATATAGCGGTGTCTTTCTACATGTACTTATTTACATAGATATAAGAAGATGTGGTATGAGTGCCAATGAGACAAAGACAATGGTAAGATGACAAAATAAAATTAACCAAAACAGCCATGTATAATTAAATTGCGGTAGGCGCTTTACATATTTTGAAAATATTTTTGTTTCGTTAAGAAAAAACTATTACATGTGTGTGAAATAATTTTAATGAAAGCTGAAGGCTGAAAGTCGTTCATAGAACGCCAATTCATGAGGGCGAAACAAATTTTCACTAATGTCCAATCAACTTTTCTGTTGTTCACATTTTGACATGGGTGATGATTGTACAATGTACATTACATTGTCATATTTTTATCACATTGTTTTAGAACATCAAAATATAAAATTGGAAAATGGAAATGGAAATGGGGAATGTGTCAAAGAGACAACAACCCGACCAAAGAGCGTAAAACAGCCGAAGGCCACCAATGGGTCTTCAACACAGCGAGAAAATCCCGCACCCGGAGGCGGGCTTCAGCTGGCCCCTAAGCAAAAATGTGTACTAGTTCAATGAAAATGGACGTCACACTAAACTCCAAAACATATAAATGAACTAAAATTAAAAAAAACATACTTCACTAACAAAGGCCAGAGGCTCCTGACTTGGGACAGGCGCAAAAATGCGGCGGGGTTAAACATGTTTTGAGAGATCTCAACCTTCCCCCTATACCTCTAGCAAACAATTTACTTTACAAAAAGTGACTGTGTCATCTTGATTCAAAACTAAATTGATTTAGAAAATGTGCTTTGCAACTGCTGTGAAAAAGTTGAGTGTAATAGCCCATATGGTATGGCAAGGTTTAAATCACTCTGAGTCTACAGGTAAATTTTGTAATTTTTGGGAATTTGTTGGGACGACCAAATAGACAAGAAAACTCACAGGCACTAATACATTTTTTACACTTATTTCATTAGTATTCAAAGCTTCAGTCCTCACATTATCTATATTAGTGGAATAATGAAAATACGCTGAATACCACACACAATAACAATCAAGTCAATAATATTGGAAGTGACTCCTGTAAGCAAACTTATCGGTAAGATATAAATCAGCGAAAAGTATACAATCAAAGAACTTCTTTTAGAACTGCTAATTTTATAAGAAAAACAGAACTTGTCAGTACTGGTCTACAACGTCATTAGAACATTTCATTTTTTTTTTATCATTATGCTAAAAGTATATACAAATGTTATACTTATTTAATGATTCAGTTTACATTGCTGAACCCCTTTTTATCTAGCTGACCTTGCTTTTTCCTAATTCTGTTTTTATAACCTGAACCTAAATTTAATGTTTATGCAGGATTTAAAAAAAAAATCCCATTATTTACCGGTAATTTCATTATAGTCTGATTATGCCTATACTGACACTTTACTGCACGAACTAACTAGTGAATAACTGTGATGTTATAATGTTTAAACAAAACAGAACACCAGATTCATGCGTATGCCAATTTCAGTGGTAGAAATAGAACGTAATGACACATAAAAAATCCGATATTTGGCAACTTAGTATGTATATATGTCGGGCTGATCTGTATATAAAGAGACGTTTGATGCTTATAACAATATTATAATCACCATTGTAATTTCTCAGATACAGGAAGCGCATATGTTATTTCATAAAACAAGACCAAGACAATAAAATCGAAAGTTTTGATCAATACATACCTAAATATAACTAATCCCAAATTGCCAAAATCAACCAAATGATTAATTTTAAAGACTAAAACTATAGTAGCGTGATTCTTTGTTTGCATGAAGGCGTCCACTATTATTGATTTGCTTATATGCTTAACTTTCAGTAGAAATATTTTTTTCATAGTTATGAGGGAAGCAATAATAGTTAAATGGAGTAGGTTATGCAACGACTTGAAATAACACCGGTTAATTTGGAACTTGATATAGACGTTTTTAGAGTTTTATGTTGCCTAAGAAATTTTGCCTTACACCATTTCACTTACGCACCATTCGATAACGTTTAAAGAGGGTTGCACTCTTCCAGCTACGCACTAACGAAAGAAATATTAGATCAATCGAAAACAATTCGGAAATCATGTAAAAGTTCTATTTGTTTTATAAAAAGCGAAAACAGTTTTCAAACTGTTTAATTTCAAGCCAATTTCGAAAATCATGTACATGTTAAGTGATGGAAGATTAACCTTCGTTGTCTCGTCGTGCCTGATCAGGGCTATTCCAGAAACTAAAATCAGACGTTAAGATACTTCTCTTATAGTTTTGTTTCAAAATACTGAATAACTTACAGTGATTTCAATCTCACAATCGTTGTAATAGAAACACTTCTTTTCAACATTGGAGAAAGACAATACTTTCTTTGAACACGAATTGAAAAATTCCGTGAGATCTATTTATATCGTTTAAAACGTCTGACACTGACATTTATTTTTTACTTAATTTCAACTTTATATACCTTTCCAACATACCGTTCTTATTATTTTTTTGACTAGACTGAACTCAAATCAGAGAAAATTTATCATAATGGAAAGATAAAACAAAATCACAAATCTTCCAAAAATATATTCACAGCAATTACTAAAAAAATGATTTTAACATTTATTTAATCTGGATGTTAAGTAGTTATCATTCATCATGTGGTGTATTGTTGATGTAAATTTGACATTTCAGATTGCATAAAGATAAATTTCATGTATCATATAAGCAGACATAAATTTTGAGAGTAATTTTTTGGGATGAAACACCAAATTCCAAAAAATATGTTGGTTTGGGTTTTTTTAAAGGTAACACTTGTGACATGGATATTATAAGACCTTATTGATTGTGTAAATGCAATTTGTAATTTATCCCTGAGGAAAAGAAGGATTTGCTTTTCATTGTCATGCTTACTCCTTTTAGAGAACAAACTCAGTCGATTTCTTACAGCGTCACCAACAATAATATAATCAGACATCGGATTCTATATAAATTCCCTGAAATTTAAGACGCCAGTATATAGCAATGTGCGTATTCATCCAAAATCGAATATCAACGAATAATTATAAACTTAAAGGTATTTGCTTTACTGATAATATTGCAATAAAAAGCTGGAGTTGCTTTATCATTGTTTTATCTAAATACATATTATCTACAATCATAGCTATCTTTTGTAGAATTTCATAATTTATACCTTTTGACAGACCAAACGGTCTCTAAAAGTTATAATCAAGAATCTCCAAAGAAAATTTCCAGTAAAATAGAAATAATCAGGCGGAGAGTTGTCTCATTGGCAATCATAACTCATCTTTTTTTTCCCTTTTTTTTTATCAAACAACAGTATTATTTTATATCTAACTGGAAATTTTCTTTGGAGATCCTTAACTACAACTTTTAGAGACCGTTGGCCAATCAAAAGGTCATTATGAAATTTGCTGCATAGACATACTGTTAATTACTTGCGTCTTGTATTGAGGGAATTTATTTAGAATCCGATGTCTGTTTATATTAGTTTTTGTGCCGCTCCGCTTTAGGAAATCGACTGAGAAATACGACGACGGCTTTTAGAATAAGAAGGCATAGTTTTCATATCAAAATGTAAAATAAGCTTAGAATACAGTAATAAAACAATTGCATACAATCTACTTACCAATCGGATTCTCTCCATGCTTTAGATTAGTCGCTTCGAATGCCATTCAGATTACAAATGGTACAAATTTCATTAATAGTTTACTAACGTTTACTAACAAAAACCCCAAATATAACATGTCTACATCTGTACAGAAACTCGAACAATGCACATTTTCATCCAATTGACTGACAAATTACAAAAACATTGTAATCTCTTTGCGTGTAGATTTCTATTAACAAATGATTACTATATTGATCTATATTACTAGTATATAATGTTGTTCATACTCGTAGTATCTTTGTAAGATGATTGTACTTCATCAAATGTTAAATTATAGTAAATCTGTCAATTTATGAATTTCAACGTTATCGTGTGACAACTTTCTATGTATTTGCCAGGCTAGCACTTGCATTCCAATAATCATAATTTAAGTTGTTATATTCAAATTTAACGACTTATTCAAAAGTTATAAATGCCAAAAAACCTTCTTGATGTAATATAAATCTATATTTGTTTTTTTCTGTTTGTTGTATATGTATCGTAACGAACCGTACCGGCTTATTTTTACAAAAGGGGGCAGATGATAATATATTAATAATGTTAACAAAAATAACATATAAAATTCATTTTCTAATTATTATACATTTTGACAAAATCAATTTAAGAATTACTTTTGAAACAAAAATTAGGATACTAGTACTTAATACTTGGATCATCACAATATTTGCTCGTCTATTAAACTTGATTTTCACATCAAGGATTCACCGCGATTAGTACATTTTGTAAAGATGTAAGCATACTGCAAACAATGCTAGAAAATTTCCTTGGAGTTCGGTATTTTAGTTATTTTACTTTTTTATATCTTTGGATTTTTATTGCGAAATTATAACGTCTTTTTTTGACTCGATTCAGTGGTTTTAGTAACGTCAATTGTTGAAGACTGTATATTGCCATCCAATCGTCTTTTCTTTTTATTACTGTGTTGTATGGTTACTGTCGTACTTAGATATGTCCTATATAGCTTTTTACTTTTATTTGTACAAACGCGAGAACGAAAATTCAAATAGTATGATTTCCTTCGCACAACATGTGCTTCTGGAAAAACCTTCACCAAATACGCTCGCGAACAAAAATGTTGAAAGCCAAAAACATAAAACATTTAGGTTGTAAAACCGAATACAGTATTAATAGAACATCAAAGTCCGTCTAAGGTTAATTTTACTTTTGTATTTTATTTAAAGCCTTTAAATATTTGGGGTTGAGCGTTCTGGCTGAGGGTAGATCCAGAAAAGCGTTTCGGACGCATTAACTATATAATGAATTATTTTCATTTGCTAGCACTAGGTTTATACATGACAATACATGTTTCTTCAGTGATGCTCAAGACCAATGTTTTTCATAATAAAAAACTTATTAAAAATGAAGAGCTATAAACCAAAAAAGACAAAAAGTATAGTCAAAGCCGGGCAAGGAATCAGAGTTTTGCATTATTCCTTAATTTGAAATAATTTAAAAAATTGTAACAGAAAATTTTAATAACAGCTTAACCGTATTTTCATACCAGAACAGTAGTCGTGGCTCTAGGTTGGAACCAAGGAAAATGAATCGGACGCACGTAGTTTATAAAGTACTGTTGAGACAATTATACACAACTTCAATTTTACTTGCACATATTTCATCATAGAGTTACAAAACGTTTGGTAACGAGCGTAGTACTGATGAAGGTTATTCCCGAAACATCACGAAATCATATCATTTTATTTTTTTACTGTCACTGGGACGTATCAACCCTGAAGCAAGTGCTTCGGTACTATATAAGTAGACATTTTCGAAAAGTCATCTACACGGACACTTATACCGACACCGATTCCTACACTGACTAAAAAAAATAGAGGGACCGTATCAAATTGTCAAAATACACTAAATGAATTTAATTTAACATTTATAACTATATTAACGAGGTTAATCATATTTAAAAATAAACGCATATATTTTTAATATGGCGACCCTGCAAATAGGATGGATATCCCATAGAAGAAAATGACTCCCCTCGTAAAACTTTGTTTGACTCAGCAGGGGTAGAAAAAAAAATATAAATTCATTATTCGTTAGTTGGTTTTCTATAGTTTTTAATTCAAAATCTGAGCTAGAAACACAAAGTCCTCTCGTCAGTTTTGGAATTCTTTTAGTGATGATTTGTGATATTCCAACTGTTTTCTTCTTATTGTCGAATTATACTGATTGATCTTTTTCAAGCAGTAAATTACATTTCATGTAGTTTTTGAGGTAAAATAACCAAAATGGGTATTCATCTTATCAAAACAGAAAATCGGGTACACCTTTTTACGTTCAAGCGTGTTTGAGTTGACTGTTGTGTCCTGAATACGTATTAAGCAAAAATATTGATACACCAGTCTCGCTTTAGATCCATTATTTTTTTATATATTTAGGCTACATTTTGATATAATAACATTACACATTCACGGTACCAAAACAGGAAATATATGGGTCAAGTGAATTACCTTTCTAATGTGTCATAACAACAGAGTAGGTGTGTTTGAATAAAATAAGAAAAGCTTCGTGCTATTTCAAATGTTTAAACTGGAAGTGTATTTCTTAGTTGTATTTTGTTTTACTTTCGTTCACTCATTTTTTAGTGAAAAATTTAGGCATATAATTATTTTATTTATGAAATGTATAAAAAAAAGAGTGGGACAAATGTTGTTCACTCACTCCTCCTTGGACTTATACAAGAAGTCCGTACTTTATAAGTGGATCTTAAAATTGCATAACTGAAAAAAAAAAAAAAAAAAAAAAACATTTTTGTGTGTGTCATCTAGGTTAATTATTCATCAACCTCTGCAAATGTTTAGTCTGCCCTTCCACATAATACTTAAAAAGAATTTTTTTAATGTTTTTATTAACTTTCAAAATTTCCCCCTGACAACCAACCAGACAATAGTTTTTAGTTGACAAAAGGCCTAAAAGTACACGAGATGCTTTGTAGCTAGTAGATACATTTGTTTTTTAAAACACAACTGTCATGTAAGGATCGTAATTATGCCAGGTGGATAAATTTGTCGGTTTTCAAGAGCTAAGTTGACAGCGCGGGTCATCCCTACAATGGCTTCCATTTTCACGATTGAAAAAAAATAATTGGCGTTATTGAGAGATGATTTTGACGAAGTAGAATCCTGACTTTCTGTGGAAAGTTCTACTAATTTACGTAAAAAACAAGCCCACTTTTTTTAAAAATTATAATATGAAGATCGGTCAATTCTCAGCTTCTAAGCAGATCCAATAAATCAACAAATCATTGAAAATATTTTTTGTACAATATTTAAAGTGTAAATTATTTATATAAAAATTTCGTACTTATATAACTTTCAAATCTGCCTTTAATCAAGAACAGTATGTACACATCAATTTAACCAAAGTCGAACGCTCGCATTAAGCACAATTCAGATGTGGAATATTACCTCTGAGGATTGAAACAGGACGATATATGGGTGAAAGACCAGAAGAAAGACTCTGCAAATTTTGCACTGCAGACGTGACCGAAACTGAAACTCATTTTTTACTAGACTGTACATTCTATTCTGATATACGAGAACATGTGTTTGGTGAACTTTTATTAACTACTTCCTGTATATCTATGGACAATAATGAAAAGCTTATTTTTTTAATTATAAGTCATACTCGAAAACTAGCCAAATACATCGTACAGGCATATTTCAAAAGACGCAATTATGTTTACAAATAGCTTAATATCTTTATATTTTTTAAAAACATTCGTCAACAAAAAGATAATTTCATGAATAATTTGTTATTTTCAAGAACTTGATATAATTGTTTTATAATTATTTAATTTCATTTGAGGTGACTTATAGGTCCATTGGGCCGGATGTATTAATATTTATCATATATTGTATGTTTATAATCTGTACATATTTACACATGTCACTATAATAAATAATTTACTTACTTACTTACTTACTTATATATTTTTTATAAATACCTGTGCTCATTGTAGACCTTGAGATGACCCCACCTAAAAAGGTTACCTATCGTCCTAGGCATAGGTGTAAGCGTCAGTGTTGATAAGTTTTCGAAAATGTCTAGTAAGATTACTAGCATGATTTAAATTATACATTAAAAACCTCAGCAGATATACCAGGTTTATGATTTTGTACGCCAGACGCGAGTTTCGTCTACAAAAAAACACATCAGTGACGCTCGAATATAAAAGGATAATTCATGTCATCACAGAAGTGTGGAAGACTGGGCTGGTGAAACCCTCGGTAGTTAACCTCCAACAGCAGTGAAATCGACCCAGTGGTTGAAAATAAACTCATCATAGATACCAGGCTTACAGTTTTGTACGCCAGATGTGTGTTTTGTCTTCAAAAGGCTCACAAGTGACGTTCGATTAAAAAATGTTAAAATGCAAAATTAAGTACGAAGCTGAAGGGCATTATGAACCCAAAATTCCGAAAGGCTTTGCCGAATACAACAAAAGTAATCTACTCCTAGGGTAAAATAAACGATTTATTTGTAATTGTGGACTTATCAATGATAATTCATATCAGCATAGAAGTGCTGACTAAGTGTCTGGTGACACCTTCGTGGATAAAACCTCCACCATCAGTGGCATCAACTCAGTGTTGTAAATATCTCATCAAATATATCAGGCTCAAAAGTTTGTACGCCAGGCCCTCGTTGCGTCTACAAAAGACTCGTCAGTGACGCTCGAATAAAAAATATTAAAAAGGCCAAATTAAGTACTGAAAATCCAAAATTCCAAAAGGTTTTGACAAATACAGCTACAGTAATGTATTCCTGGGTTACAGAATGTTCATTATAAAAATGAAAAAAAATGTAGTGTACTGTTGACGTGAAGCTGATTCAGGAAATCGAGATCCATAGTAGTATATAGCTAAAAAAACAAATCCATAGTCAGTGAAACACACTTTAAATCTCACATATTTTCCTAGATGCCAATCTCATTAAGATCTAGGAAACAAAGAGGGCAAAGT